CTAGACAAATACTATAAAAAAAATTTAAAAGAAAATAAAAATAATTCACCTAACCTAACGGATCAATTAGAGCCCAAACAAAACCAAACGGAAGCCCATCTGTAGATTCGGCCTAGACTAATGCCCAGTTTTACTTTTGCTGGGACCCAGGCCCAGTTGTACTGAAACGCGCAAAGTCGCGTCCTTCCTCCTCGAAGAAGGCTCAGAGGAAGGCTCTGAAAGGTTTAGCACTTGCAGAAGCGAAACTGTCCCTTTCTTCCTAAAGCATCAAAATTCCTGAATTCCGTTGAATTTCGATTCCATCTGAAACCATCTCCGTTCTCGTTGAAGCTCCTCCGACCGGCTGATCTGAAATTTTTTTGAGCTTTGCCGCTCGATCGCAGTCCCATGGCGACGAGGAACAGGACGCTACTGTACAAGAAACACAGAGCCGCCGTGAAGAGCGTTCGCGCTCCTCTGTCGTCTTCATCCTCCGCTTCCAACGGTCCGGTTATTGAAATGGTGAACGCTTCCTTTCTTCGCTCTAATCGCTCCTCTTATACTCCTCTCAGCACCGAAGAAGATCCCGGACCTTCCAGGTTATTCTTCTTCTTTGTTATTTATATTTTAAAATTCTTAAAATTTCTAAATCTTTATTTGCATTTGAAAGTTATGGAAAAAATGGATTATGCTCTTGAATTTTTCGGTTTGGAAGTGTTGAAGCTTGCGCCTTAAGAATTGTGGAGTCAGATTAACCGGAAATTTTCATTTGTTCATGCAGTAGTGACGCGTATACCATTGGATTACCGCCGGCGTGGGTTGATGATTCTGAAGAAATAGCTGGGAATATACAGCGAGCTCGGGTGAAGATGGCTGAACTTGTTAAGGCTCATGCTAAGGTTTTAATGCCCTCGTTTGGAGATGGTAAAGAGGATCAACGTGCAATTGAGGTTTTAACTAGAGAGATTACGGATCTATTGAGGAAGTCTGAAAAGAGATTACAGAAATTTTCTGGAAGTGGTTCTTCTGAGGATTCAAATATTAAAAAGAATGTGCAGGTATAATTTTACTATTCTTCATCAGCTCATGCTAAAGTTTCTTATGTCCTTGCATGTGTTGCTGATGCGAAATGGCCAAAGATTTGATTCAATGCTTTATCAGTCTAATAAACTTGCTGTATCATTGTGTGTTAGTTTGTGGTGTTATTGCTGTTTGATTAGCTACAGGTTCAAGTTTTCATATAGGGTCAACTTTCTCTTGATTATTTTTGTTGTAGGCGAACAAAGCTTTTTCTTGGTATGGGTTATTAAAGAAAGACATATCATAGTTAGTGTAATTGCAGTCATTTGTCCTACTTTCATGCAAAACATATTAGTTTGCCAAAAGTGATATCAGAATTTCATTTCTTTTTTCTCAACAAATAGATATAGTTATTTCTTCTATCTAGTTAATTTTCTCAGCCAGAGGGGAAGGGAGGGTTCGATGTTCCTAAGATTATTCTTGGGTTGGGTACTTTGTTGTGGTAATTTTGTTGTATGTTTGTTGGATTCTTTTATGGGGTTTGGTCAATTTTAATTTCCTTCTTTGTTATTTTGTCTCTGTCAACAGCGGTCTCTTGCAACTGACCTTCAGAACCTATCACTGGACCTGCGGAGAAAACAGTCAACTTACTTGAAACGCTTACAGCAGCAAAAAGAGGTATACAAAAAATCTATATAAGTAGACAACATATCTATCCTATCTTTAGCTTTCTGTCCCATTATATATGTTGCATTCACTGGATTTTTAGTTTTACGTCCTTTCAAAGTTAAGTTACAAGATGTACATATAGTTGGAAGTTTCTTTTTCATCCACTGTAATTTGTACTCCTATGCTGTTAAGTTTTTGTTATTGTGATTTTTTATATGACATATTTTTAATAAAAATGTAAAAATTTGTTTTGTGTTCCAGGGACATGATGGTGTTGACATAGAGATGAACTTGAATGACAACAGATCTAGATTGGATGATGATGAGTTAGATGATATGGTATTCTATGCTGCTATTTTACCTTACTGTTATAATTGGACACAACATCTTTTAGTATACTAAGAATTTAGAGATTTCCAACAAAATGGGAAGTGCTCATGCTGTAGCAATTTTCAGTACATCATTATGTAATAATTTAGGTAAAAGCTTGCAAGACTTAGGTTTTTAGTCATTACCCAAGCAGGAAAAAACTATATTTTTTGCTACTGACTCAGATTATATTTTGACAAAGCTGGGTGTGTTTTTGGAAGTATTTTGAGTAAAAGTTATGGTATGTTATGTGGTAGCTGGAACTATTTGAACGCATTTGAGACTTAAGCACATTCAGAATCTAGTTCAGTATTTTGATGGTTTGATTAATTCAGGGTTTTAACGAGAACCAAATGATGAAGTTGAAGCGGAGTGAAAACTTAACTGAGGAAAGGGAGAGAGAAATCACAGAGGTATCTGGGTTCACTCTGGTTATTCTTTGAAATTTGAATTATCAGTTCCTTCTTAATAAACATAGACATTTTGTAGGTTGTCAAATCAGTGAACGAGCTTGCTCAAATCATGAAAGATCTCTCAGTCCTTGTGATAGACCAGGTTTGAAACATTCCTCTACATTGTACCATCAAAATATATTGAGTCATACTCATAAGGGGAACTATAAGTTTAATTTATTTATTTAAATGTGTCAGGGTACAATTGTTGATCGGATAGACTATAACATTCAAAATGTTGCTACGTCTGTGGAAGAAGGCCTTAAGGAGCTCCAGAAGGTCTCTCTTTCTCTCTCTCTCTAAAACTCACACACACATATGCAGATGCACACAAGCACACACACAGACACTCATGCCTGCCATATTCCCATGTCCATGCACTTCTACACTTTCTTCAGAAGAAAACCTTTTCTGCAGAACTGAAGTGTCTGAAATGTGCATGAGTCATGCTTATCATCCTTTACATCCTATGTTACCATAATGGTTTTTTAAGACTTCACTGATGATGTGTTATTCACTGGTGCCTTTGTTGTTGGCCGTTCGGTGTTCTGGAATTGCAGGCAGAGCGACACCAGAAGCAAGGAGGGATGGTGATGTGTGCAACAGTGCTTGTTGTTTTGTGCTTCATCATGCTGGTCCTCTTGATACTCAAACAGTTATTATTGTGATCACAATTTTTTTTTTTTTTTTTTCACTTGAGTAGCACCTTATCCTGTTAATACCACACCAATTCGTCAATCATTTTGACAGCAGACAACCAAGGCAGCTTCAAAGGACTATTGTGACATGCACCATAAATCCACATTAGAATGGTGTAAATCTGTATGGATTTTTGTACCATAATTTCTTCGAAGAATTGTGTCTGAGGCCTATTATTTGGTGTATGCGAGGAGATTTCTGCTTGTATAACCTCTCTTTCTAGCTAGTATCAAAAGTTAATGATAAGAAAAAAAAAAAAAGTATAGGGAAAGGCGAAGAAAAAAATCTAGCCGAACTGTTATTTGGCAACCATGGATAAATGACTGCAGCTGATCATAATCTGAGCTTTTAAACTTTAGAAGGGAGTATCTTAATCTTTATAACGACAACATGAAGGCCCTGTGTTTCCCCAAAAATCTTCAGTCGGCTTTTACCACGTGAGTTTGGTTATTAGGCGTGCCACTTGCTTTGTCTAAAAACAAGAAAATATAATTTTCCAGACGACATTTCTTCTTTCCAGCGGTCGACCTCAAATAGGATGGTTGGAAAGAACGCCTGTGAAATTAATTGCGCCCTAGATGATGTTGCAAAACAGAGGATAGAGTTTTGCAAAATGGGTTACTAATTGCCTTGGAAACCTCCAATGACTTCACAACCAAACAAGTATAATAAAAGCTATAAATCCTAAAATAAATCCAATATCCTAAAGCAATTAAACTAA